ACTTTGACCGCCCATGACCTATGGCCACCACCGATGACCCCCACTATTGCCGTGGACCGGTGGTTGAGCGGTGGTTGAGTGGTGGTTGAGTGGTGGTGTTATTTTTTTAACTTTTTTTATTTAAAAAAAGTGGTGAGCTTTGCATTGACAGTTGGTGAGCTTTGCATTGGTAGTTGGTGAGCTTTGCATTGGCAGTTGGTGAGCTTTCCATTGGCAGTGTTGTGTGTTGTGTCGTCTCATTGAAGCATGTCATCTTACCATAAGGTGTCATCTCACTGGAGTCAATCCCTATATATATATATATATATATATATATATATATATATATATATATATATATATATATATTGATATATGGCCGCCGCAGGGTTTCTAGAGAGGGGGAGGGGATTTCGGCGATGGAATCGTGATTTTCGAAGGAAATATAGCGAGGGAGATCGAAGGTTTTCAGATCAACGGCGGGACAATCGAAGGTATTCTCCTCAACAAGCGTACTTCGGTGGGGTGCGATCAAGAAATCTCAGAATCTATGGCGATCTTAATCGACTCAGATTTGGATCTTACTCGAAGGGAGATACAAACAAGCGCTACAATGGACCAGTACACGACGGCTCAGGGACCTTCTCCGTCTCCATTGAAAGTAAGGAATTTACTTTCAACGCTTCTGAAGGCCTTCTACACATATCCGAATCCAAAAAAGGTATTTCTCGTACAATCTCGATATCTCAATCTGCCTGCCTGTGGTTAATTGAAAACCTAAGCTGCCAAAGAGGAGGATGGTTGATCAGCAGGTTTGACGGGGAATCTTCAATAAAGATCTTATGGGACTCAAATGACTTTGGAGATTTTATTCGCATCTCTCAGACATGAGAGGGATACCATCAGCAAATCTTCATACCAATTGGAACTTCATGCTTAGGTTCCAAACTATTTCTCAAGGCCCTTAAAAGTTTAATAACTTACCTTGCTGAAACAGGAATAGGAGTGGAAATGGCAGAGACGCAGGAAGTAGAAGCTTTGGTTACAAATGATACTACATTACCTCGGTTGGAACACGACAATGGGAAGGAACCGATATTTGAGAGGAATGAGGAAGAGGAACAAGTTCAGAGAATTTCAATCTCAACAAAAATACTAGAAATGGATATAGAACAGGCCAACAAGGGGATTGACTGTCAAAATATATGTATGGAAGGGGAAGCTGCGGTAAATGGCTTGTCCAAGGAAGAGATTGATGCTGAAAAGGCTTTTGGTCCAATCTTTCAAAGCTACTTCGAGGCTGTCCTTAGAGAAACAGAGGACTATATCCGGGAAAAACTTGCACAAAGAGAACTCATAGAGCTTCTTAAGAAGGGTCTCATCCAAGACCAAGCAGGGGTATCTTTTAGGGTAACAAGGGAGATTGTTAAAAGTATGGAAAATGTTGATTTAGTCCACATAAAGGGCACTAAACATCCAATTTTCTTGGCCTACTCAAACTATGACGCAGAGGCAGTCACGGCTCACATGAGCTGGGAATCGCAGTAGATTATTTTAATAGTTTCTCATAGGGGATTAAAGCTACTGCTCGATGTATCACCACCACAAATCTTTCCAGACCGTTCAACCTCTTGCAGTTCAGGGTGCTGTAAAGGTAATTCTAGCCTTGGTTTATCTACGTTTAAGGTTGGCTTTCTCCAGTTAATACGGAATTTAGCTAAAGTTTGGTACTGGGCAGCTTTAGATGATTTCTCTTCCTACTATATATTCGAAACTGTGGCTGGAAATCCTGGAATGCTACATTGATGTCCTTTTTCTTTCAAGTCCTGGGTCTTGGTAACTCTCTATTGGTCAAGACATTTCATGGGATAACTCCTAAGATGGAGCTCTTGCTGTGTTTGGTACAATGGATCTCAACATATACTGCTTTAAGAGGAGGTAATAATGTGGCTGGGTGGGGCAGAAGTTTGCAGAAGAAAGCATCCCACTCCATGTGTATTTTGTTTGGTTTTTGGTGGCTGGTCGGAGGTTCTCTGTTTGGTTGTTTATTGTGGAATCTCTCATGCATTGTTGTTTTGTAATTTGGTACCTTTTTATTTTTCTCTTGGCCTGTCTTGTTGGGACTCTTGGCCACCCATCATGTACCCTTTCATCTTTTCTTTTTAATATAATAAATTTCTCAATATAAATATATATATATATATACATATATATATATATATACATATATATATATATATATATATATATATATATAGATTTTGGTTCAAGTGAGAATGCGATCTTATGAAAGAAATAAGAATGAATCTGGTGCTTTAGATTATGAGATCTAAGGGTCAAGATTGCATCAAAATTAGGTGCACCAAAATGGGTTAAAAATGCATCATGTCGAAATGCATCAAAATCCTTTGAAAATGCACTATCTCAAAATCTGAGTGCAGGATGCAATCTGAGCCGCACGATGCATCCGATCCAAAGGCTAGATTTTATTCTTATTTCTTTCACCAAGGTGCATTCTCACTTGAACCAGCCCCTATATATATATATATATATATATATATATATATATATTAAACGAAAATTTTATTGCATAAAGGTAAAAGAAAGGTACAAGGAGGGGAGGACTAAGCCAATGCCCCTACCGAAATGCATGAAAGTAAAACTAAATGAGAAATGAAACGAGAGATAGACAGATGGTCATTCCCAAATTATAAAACCCGGGTGCTGATCCAAGGGGAGGTTTCTGGGCATTATTTTCTTTGGTCTTTTCCCATCTGCTCCAATTGGGCCGATGGGTCCAACGTACCAAAAGGGCCCAGAGTAACTTTTGGTAGTGACGATTTTCTCCATTGTTGTTGATTTGCGGCTAGGCCAATATCTAGTGATCTCGCTCATCGTTCCAACTTCAAGATTTGGATCGTAGCTTCTAGTTTTAATCGTTCTTGGTGCAATTCCCTTCTTCCCCGCTTTTTTGCTACGTCTGCTCTGGACATCTTAGAAGTTAGACTCCTCCCTTTGGTTACTTGTGGGGGGAGTAGGGTGGTTCGTACCACGAGCCTTCAGCGAATAAAAGTTCTTCAATTTGTTCTTCAGCAAACAAAGTGTAGTCACGGGAGTAGGGTGGTTCGTACCACGAGCCTTCAGCGAATAAAAGTTCGTCGAAATAGAAGATTTTCTGTTCTAATCTTAGGATTTCTTCGACGAGTGGATTAGGTTGATCGTCGCACATAGGCCCAAATTGATCACAGTCATATTGGTCACCATGAGGTTCATAATAATTATCCCCATCAGAATCTTGGTACGGAGAATATCCAAAGCTCCTAGATGGGGTATCATATGGGCGTTCCTCATGGCAGGGATAGTAGTCAGGCCCATTGTTGACTTGGTAGTCGCCATCATATGAGTTTTGATGTGGGTGATAGGTTTGGTGGGTTTGGTGCGGAGGGCGGTTAGTTGCGTGATTGGTAGTAAGAAGGCGGGCCGTAATAACAACTGGAGTTGTCCATAATAATTATTACGGGTGGTTGGTCAAAAAAAGAAGTGAGAAGATCGTTCTAACCAATCTTCACCCAAGCTAATTAGAAGAAATTAAACTAATGCCGTGCCACTCCCCGGCAACGGCGCCATTTGACAGTCGTAGTTTTTCGGGTAGTAAACCTTCCCAATAATATTTCTATTACTACTCATCCATTTCTAGATTTGTACTTAATCCGTTGCACTGCCAATTTTTCTCAATAAATGGCCAATTAAATCTTTCAATATTAATTAACCAGATAAGGCAAGAACAATAGATTAACCATTCCAACATTAATTTAACATCAAAAAATTAAACAACCAAACTAGTTCGGACCCAGAGATCCGGACCCTAACTCATACTATGCAAACATAAATTAAAATAACATTTTATTAAATAGAGTAAACTTACAACTTCCGTAAAAGCGGAACAGAACAGAACAGGAGCAGAATTTCTCCAGAAATTATTCTAAAACTACTAGAATGCTAAACTAAAACTTGGAATTGCAATATAAGGCTCAAATCCCGAGAGAGGGGATGAAAGTGATGGTTTGAATGGGGAGAATCGCGCTGTATTTATAGGACAGAGGCCGAGGCGTCCAAGTCAAAGCGTCCGGATCCAAAGCGTCCAAAGTTGGACGCCTTACGCGGCCCGTCCATTCGCTGCTTGCCACGTGTCTTCCTTGATCTGCAATCTAGCCAAGGCGTCCATCTCCCAAGCGTCCAACTTGGCCAAGCGTCCAAGTTGGACGCCTTAGGCCCTGGTCCATTTGGGCTTCGCGGCTGATGCGAGATCTTGGCCCAATTTCGCTGGTTTTCGGCCCGAGCGTCGATTTTATCTTCCCGGAAGCTCGTTCAAGCCCGAATCTTGATCCTTTGATGATTTATTCCCTTTTTCTCAAGTATTTGAACATAAAATGGATAATTTATGATGATTTTATGTGGAATCCCTATTTATGACTCTTAGAATGAAAATGAGAGTTTTATCCATCAAAATCACATTTTATGAGATGATTAAATATTATTTACGTGCAATAACGTTTGGAATATGATGTAAATGATAAGAACGAAACGGACTTATCAAATTCCTCACACTTAAACGTTGCTTGCCCTCAAGCAACAAATTGAATAATTACAAGTATAAAGACAAATTAATAATTGCAGAGGCAATGTTAAAGCTATATATTATGAAGGAAAGAAGGAATAAGATAGTCATCAACCTTTTTGTTAAGAATAAACGAACCTTTAGATTCTCACCCATATTGTTAGAAATGTAAAAGAATTTTATCAAACCAGTATTTTTACACCAACCTAAAACCAAAATTTTCCAAACTTTCTTTGGGATAACTACATTTGTAAGAGTACTTTAGAGGACAAATTATTTTTTAATGGCTAAATTGGAAAACATGTTCTTGCAAAAGTAATTGTCAAAGTGTAAGGGTTTAATTTTCTTTGGCATAACTTTGTCATGTTGACACGAGAAAAATTTATAACCTCATCCCGTGACGTAGAACCACGAGCTTTTTGGAAACTCACTCTGGAAAGTCTCATCACACGACATAGAACCGCATGCTTTTTGACTCTAACACTCAAAAGGCCTCATCACGCAATATAGAACCACGTGCTTTTCGGCATACTCACCACGCCTCATCAGTTGACCTAGAACCAACTGCTTTTTGGCTAAAACAAGAATCTCGGTCTCACCAAAGTATGCTTTGAAACGTCACCCCTTATACTTTGAAAAATAACTCCTTTTAAGAAACAACAAATACTCAGCAAAAAGATTTTCAATAAAGCACTTAAAAATTAATTGATCTAAAAAAAACTCTTAATAAATTGTGAATTTATCCCAAATCATTTTAGAAAATATTCCCAAAAAGGTTAGAGTAGAAATAGATGTTTGACACAAAGTTAAAAATTTCTAATTTTTATGGGTGATAACTAAAGATTAGTTAATCAAACAATTAAAATTGATGACTATTTTATAAAAATCTTTTCCTACAAATATATAGACAAAACAATTCCTAAAAAGATCATTTCAACCAGGAACTCTTACCTCCTCACACTTAAACGGAACCACGCCCTCGTGGCTAAAAGTATTTTGGCATTGGAGTTAATGGTTGAAATGCTCACATGCGATTACTAAGTTATCTCAATACTTATAAGATTCAACGAGGAAGATTGAAATAATAGATAACCATAACATGAAAATATGAAATAATGTATAAAATTTTCTCAAAATGGTTTTAAGAGTCATGTTGTGAAATTCCAAAATAAAATCATATAAATATCCAAAAATGATGTTCTGAATGCTTGTTCCCGGGTGTATTCAAGTATTTCCTCCACCTGCCATTGTTGCGTCAGAAGGAGCGTCTCCATGCTCCTTAAGCGAGAGTCTACAGAATCTTGGAATGCAAACACAGCCTGCGAAAGCTCGCGGAGGGTCATGGGGATTGCATGCTGCCTTCTCTGACGTGCCTCCTTGTCTTCCTTATTATAAGCAACCTGGGCCAAGTACCTTGCCGATGGTCGGAATATGCTTGCAGCCTCTGGGAGGACATTGGGGACTGTCATACATAATCCTCGGGCCAGAAGCGTAACCATTGGCCCACATAAGACAAACTGGTGGTTGCTAGTCGACTGAGCAAATAGGAATCGAGCCACAAAAGTTGCTAGATTGACTGGTACGCGCGCTTCCAGACTCCAGAAAAATAGCATATCGGAATCAAACACCACATCAGAGCCATGAGAACGGCCAAAGTAGCTATGAGTCAATGCATGGTGTAGAATTCTCCACGGTAAGGCTCAGCAGTCGTCCCATGAGAGTGAATGTGACCTTGGTGGTGGAGGTGACTTCTGCTGCTGATTTTACTTCCTCTCCGTTATTGAGGAAGCGGAGAGAGCAAAGGAACTCGATGGTGACTTCCAGGCTAGCTGGTGCTTGCAAGAACAGCAGGATCCTCCATTTTGGGTTGTACAGAAACTCATCAATGTCCTGCCAGTGACCTAGTTCATCCAGATAGGCAGGGTCTAGCACCATGGGCGGCTGGAGCATCTTCGTGTTTCCCCAAGTGAGAAACTTCTTCCTTGCTTCTTCTGAGTGCAAGGGGAGCTCTTCCAGGTTCCGTAATGTGTGGTGGTTTCCATGCGGAATCATCCAAGCAACATCCATCTGTAGAACAGAGAAGTAAAAACGAGTAAAATCTTGCCCCCTACTGGTGCGGCAAGTAAAATGAGCATAATAATTTAATTATATGAATGACGGGTTGCCTCCCGTTTAAGCGCTTCTTTAACATCCGTAGCTCGACGCTCACCCACTTTTTCCGTGACTTTCCGATCCGAGAGTCATAAAGTTTGACCCTTTTGACTCTCTTCTGATGCCACCCTGTTTGAGTTTTTGCTCGGTCAAGGTCCAGGATCCTTGATTTATCCCTGTGGCTTGGTGGCAACAGGATAAACGGAGGAGACTTTGTATAGGTGGGTGGGGGCGGAAGTCTCCTCAGTAGATCCACATCATTAGCCTTGATTGTGAAATTGATTTCTTCCTTATCTTCAATTGGCTGACTATCCATTTGTGGTTCGATGATTATGATCGTACCCTCCCCCAAGGAAGAGTCCTCGTCGTCACTCATTAGAAGTTCATCCCAACTCTTTAAGTTCCAACCATCCTTCGGGCACACATAGTCATACCCGTCAAGTAGGGAATCAAAGAAAGTATGGTCTGAGGCTTCAGATGAATCATTAGTTGTGCAGGTTTCTATAGACGAAATTAGTTCATCAGTGCAACGTACTTCCTCGTCTGTAGATTCCTGCTCGGACTCAATTGAATCTTGGGGGCAGGTAATGGGCTCTACTTCCTCTAGAACAGGTTCCTCTGGAGATGTGTCTTGAACACAATTAAGGAGATGGTCGTTAATCGCCAAAGGCAAAACTTCCTCCTCCTTCTTTTCTTGAATAAGCATAGGTGGTTCTGAGTCAGGTCCCTCAGTTGGTTCCACCACAGTCGCCTTGGCGAGAGTTGTTATGCTCTCGGGTTTCTGTGATGGTGTAGAACTGGGTGAATCTTCTAGAACTGGAACCTGTTGGTTGATGGGTTAAGGGTTGGTCTTAGGTTCTAGAGCCTCTTTTGAACATTAATCTCCCTCATTTGATCTTGATATTGGAGGGAGCGTTTAAGTTCAACAGCCTTGCAGAGATCATTGACTAATTTATCAGCTTTAGCCTCAGCTTCTAGTCTCTCTCTTTGAAAGTCATCTAGCATTTTCTGCATCATATCTGATCCTTCGCATAATCTCCATTCGAACTCCTTTTCCTTCCGGACTGATTCAAGAAGTTTTGCTCTTTCTCGAATTGCCACCTTGTTTGCTTCAATTTGCTCTTCAGCAAACAAAGTGTAGTCACGGGAGTAAGGTGGTTCGTACCAGAAACCTTCAGCAAATAAAACCTCGTCGAAATAGAAGATTTTCTGCTCTAATCTTATGATTTCTTCGACGAGTGGGTCAGATTGCTTGTCGTGCATTGGCCCATATTGGTCATAATCATCGTTATCTCCATGAGGTTCATAATAATTATCCTCATCAGAATCTTGGTATGGAGAATATCCAAAGTTTCTAGATGGGGTATCATATGGTGGTTCCTCATGGTAGGGATAGTAGTCAGGCCTATTGTCAACTTGGTAGTCATCATCATATGGGTTCTGATGTGGGTGGTAAGGTGGATGGTACGGAGGGCGGTTGGGTGATTGGTAGTAGGAAGGCGGACCGTAATAACCACTGGAATTATGCATAATAATTATTACGGGTGGTTGGTGAAAAAGAAGTGAGAAGATCGTTCCAACCAATCTTCACCCAAGCTAATCAGAAGAGATTAAACTAATGCCGTGCCAATCCCCGGCAACGGCGCCATTTGACAGTCGTAATTTTTCGGGTAATAAACCTTCCCAGTAAAGGGTTAGTTTTCTCTCCGAGTGTCGTATCTTTCGACGAGTGGACGAAGGGAACTAGTTTAATTACTCTAATTAGGCGAAGATTAGGATTGGTTTATGAAAGTCTTCTCGGAACGATTATAAAAAGAGCAGAGTAAAAAATAATAAATTGAGTTTACATAGTAGATCTGGACCTAGGGTCAGGACATCATTTGGATCTATTTTATCATATTAAATTAACAATTAGAAAAATAATATTTCTATTACTACTCATCCATTTCTAGATTTGTACTTAATCCGTTGCACTTGAATATCATAGCCTTTTGGCATACAATATTTTCTCAATAAATGGCCAATTAAATCTTTCAATATTAATTAACCAGATAAAGCAAGAACAATAGATTAACCATTCCAACATTAATTTAACATCAAAAAATTAAACAACCAAACTAGTCCGGACCCAGAGATCCGGACCCTAATTCATACTATGCAAACTCAATTTATTATTTTTTACTCTGCTCTTTTTACAATCGTTCCGAGAAGACTTTCATAAACCAATCCTAATCTTCGCCTAATTAGAGTAATTAAACTAGTTCCCTTCGTCCACTCCTCGAGAGATACGACACTCGGAGAGAAAACTAACCCTTTACTGGGAAGGTTTACTACCCCAAAAATTACGACTGTCAGGAGGCAAGGCGCAAACCATACACATAACCGAAATTGGAGCTCAACCTATTTCCCAGCTTGACTGCAAATCAGAGCTCCTGCAAGGGCGAAAGGTTGAAATCCCCACTCGCTGAGCTCATTTTCCTTGATCATCCATCCCTTTCTCCGGTATTTCCAGCACCAAAGATTAACGGTAAGCTTGATGTTGTTGTTTATGTCCCTATAGCTCTCCATCTCTCCTCCAAAATATATTGAAGCAAATTGCTTCCAAATTGACCACGCAATTATACCTGGAGCGACTAGCCTTAGGTTTCCCACATAGGAATTACGTGTTGATCTCAAATTCCACTCTAGAATGTGCTGTCTTAGTCCTATTCGCTGTTGTAGTTTAGGTCCTTCGCACATGCTTGCCATTTCTGCCCATATATTTTGTATCTTAGAACATTGTAAAAGACAATGGTCCATAGTCAGGGGCGGAGGGAAGGGGGGGGGCTGCCAAGGCACGTGCCCCCCCCCCCCCCCCGCGAGGGAAGGGGGGGCTGCCCATATATTTTGTATCCTAGAACATTGTAGTTTAGTTCCTTCGCACATGTATCCTACAGTGGTCATAGGCCTGTTTAATTGTGATATGTACTGCCTCCATCTCTTCTTCTTCATCCTCTTGATCTGGTGTGATGTCCCCCAAGAATTCCTCAGCCTTTGAATGTATTCTACAGATTCTTTTCCTGATTGGAGAGTCTGTGAGCTTTTCCTCAAAGCAATTTGTGCTATACTTTTTCCTCATGAACTGGGCCCACTTGTTGTTATGGAATCTGAAATTCCACCACATCTTTATAGATTATGCATCCTGGATGTCCCTTATGTCTCTAACTCCCAGTCCACCCTCTTCTTTTGGCTTGCATATATCTTCCCACTTAGTCCAATGATACTTGTTGTTCCCACTTGAGGTGCCCCAAAAAAAATTTGCCATCATTGAATGAAGTTTATTAATGACAGACTTTGGGAGAGTGTGTACAGCAATAAGGTGTAGTGGAATGGATGAAAGCACATGCTTTATGAGAATAAGTCTACCACTCTGGTTAAGAGTCTTGCTATACCAACTATCAATGTACTTATTAAAGTGTTTGAGAAGCTCACCACAATCAGTTTTCTTTAACTTTCCCTTGCAAATTGGTGCTCCAAGATATTTGAAAGGAAGCTTGTCATGTTTCATTCCCAGGAATCCTTCAATCTTGCTAATGGCTGACCTGCCTAGTTTGTTCCCACAGTAAAATTTACTCTTTTCATAGTTAATCTGCTGTCCAGAGGCCTCCATGTACATATTGAGAATATGTTTGAGTTTATAGATATTTCTACACTCTCCATTATAGAAAATGATAATGTCATCTGCGAAAGCAAGATGGCTTATCATCATATCTCTTCCAGTGTTATAGTTGGTGATGTAGGATGACTTCATAGATAAATTGAGAGCTCTAGAAAGACCCTCTCCAGCAATGATAAAGAGGAGTGGGGATAGGGGGTCACCCTGTTTAACTCCTCTCTTCATCTGGAAGTATCCCTTGGGGCTGCCATTAATCAAAATGGAGAGAAAAGTGGATTTAAGGTTAGCCATAAGCAGATTCTGGGCATGGGTTGAGAAGCCCAGTTTGTTAAGTACCCCCTGAAGATACTGCCACTCCAGGTTGTCAAAAGCTTTAGCCATGTCAATCTTAACAATGATGTTGCCTCCTCTGACCTTGGTGTCAATTTTGTGTACCATTTCTTCAACCAATAGAATTTGTTCCTCCACCCCCATACCTTTTTGGAAACCTGTTTGCTCAGGAGATATAATTTTAGGGAGGAGAGCTTGAATTCTATCAGCCAGTATCCTTGTATTTATTTTGCTCATGAAAGTGGACAATGAAATTGGTCTGTAGTCACCAAAGACTTTAGGTTTTTCATTCTTGGGGATAAGGGTTATAAAGGTGCTTCCATATGCCTTGGGAATAGGTATACCAGTAAAGAATTCCTGAGTGGCACTAATAACATCCACTTTGATAATATTCCAGCAGGACCTGAAGAATTTTCCATTGAAGCCATCTGGTCCTGGAGCACTTCCTGGATCAAGGGACCACACTGCAGCTTTTATTTCCTCTTCAAAAGGTAATTTGCATATTCTCTGATTATCCTCATATGATATAACTTCCTCTAAGTATTCCATCAAAGGCTCCATATGAATGGATTGGGTTTTGATGAATGCATTTGAAAAGTGTTCAACAGCTTTTTTGCTTATGTTTTCCAAGTCTCTATCCTCTTTTCCATCTTGATCACAAATGCTCCTAATTTTAGCTTTTGCCCTTCTGCCTTTAACATAAGCATGAAAGAACTTAGAGTTGCAATCCCCCTCAGTAATCCATTTAAGATTGGCCTTTTGTTTCCAAAAGAGTAATTCAATATTGGTAGCTTGAATGAGATGAGCCCTAGCTTTGTTGTCTGCTTCCCTGTGAATAGGAGAAAGATCCTGGTCATATGCTTCTTGGGCTAGTATAGCTTGATCTTCAGCCTCCTTAAGATTGGTAAAAATGTTGCCAAAAGTGCTTTTATTCCATTCTTTAAGAACAGCCTTAAGCCCCCTGAGTTTGTTGCTCAGACCAGCCATACCTCCATATTGGTGTGAGCTGCTCCAATAATCAGATACCACTTTAATGAAGGATGGGTGATTAGTCCATGCATCTATGAATCTGAATGGTTTAGGACTCCTATTATTTTCCTTAGAGCATGATAGGAGTAAAGGCTTATGATCAGAAGTTGCCTTGCTTAGGTGCTTAACAAATATATCATCAAAGTATTGCATCATAGCCTCATTGATCAGAACCCTGTCCAACCTTCTGAAAACCATGCCATTCCTCCTACCTCCTGACCAAGTAAAAGTTGATCCTTGAGAGTGAGGGTGGTGAAGATTACATTTAGCTATGCAGTCTTTGAAATCTTCCATATCATTTTGATTAGGCAATGTCTTGCCCATGTGTTCACTCCAATGAGCAATAATATTGAAATCCCCCCCCCCCCCCAACAATCCACTTGTTGTTGGTTTGGAGTGTTTGAAGCCTGTTCCAAAGACTCCTTCTCTCTCTACCACTGTGTTTACCATAGACTGTTGTGATCCTTATTTCATCTTTTGTCCCTGTATCATTAAAGTCACAGTTTACCAGCTGCTCTTCTTCACTTATATTTTGTAATTGGAGGGTTTCCTCATTCCAGAAAATCCAAATTTTGTTGTGAATAGAGGCTACAAATCTAGAGCACTACCCAATGTTGTGAATAGAGGCTACATAGTACCACATTCCAATACAAGCACTACCCAATGTTACCCAATGTTATTAATATAAGTAACACCAAGATTTTTATAGCTTTAGATTCTAATCAAGTTGTGAATTCAAACTATACGATTTCATATATCAAGTCCACCCATATATATTCCCTCACCAAGGTACAGGTTTCACAAAAACTCAGTCAATATGCTCAGAAAAAGTATTTCAAAACCAGGTTCAACTTATTCCTCCAAGGTAATGCATCAAATAGAGGCGGGTGAAATGTTAATCTTACCATAATCAGCTTCAAAAAAACAGCAGTGAAAACCACCCCACACGATGCCCAATGACAGAGTCAAACTTCCACTACAAAATCAGCCCAAACAGCAGCCCCAACACTGCCTTTTCAAGCCCGAATGCACAGCAAAAATAGCCACTACAGCAGCACGGGTTGACCTCCAAAACAAGTATCATTCAAACATCAAAATTGTGGAGGAGGAAATCTCCACAAGCAAGTAAAAGGCTCAGCAAAATACAGTTCCAAAAATACAGTTAAAATAGTCCAAAATAAATTTTGCAACTCCAGCAACCGTAAATTCAAAGAGTTTGTTTAATTAAAATTTGAATAGCAGCGTCAAGAGCACCTTCAAGAACGACCATAATCCACAAGAAATTTTGCAAAAACCAACAAGGAACATGGTTCAAAACATATGTCAAAATCTTGCTGTGTACAGTATCTTGTTTCCCAAATCTCCTCAAATCGCAGGTAATTCAAATGGAATTGAAATCCAAGTAAATACCTTGGATTAGGAAGCCATTTCGCTCAGAATCTTAGAAGGATGTTCTTCAATTTTGCTTCAGACAACAAGAATCCCATGGTTCGATCAAAGGGTTGGCCGGCCGCATCCTTGCTCTGTTGCTAATCGTCCTCGCCGTGGATGTCCTTCGGTCTGGTGGTGTCGCTGGCTGGCGCTATTGTCAGCCTTCTTGCCGTCGGGAGGCAGCTCGAAGAAGAAGAGAGGCTATTGTCAAATTATACCAAAATAGATTTAATCGAATACAATGAAATTCAAATCCAATAATATCAAATCAAATCTTCAAACAGTTCCAATCCAATATGAAAATTTATTCACTTGTATAGGTTGTGTCCTATTTGTCTACTCTAATCTTTAAATGCACTAGTATTTAACCCGTGCAACGCACGGGGTTTAGCAATTTTTTTGTCAATTCTAAATTTTTTATAGAAATCATCCTAAATAGAACTAAAACACAGAGAAAAGTACCAAAATAGGACTTTCATGTTTTTTTCCCGGAATAGGACTTTGCACTGTGATAATGTGACTTTGCATTGTGGTTATGTGGCAGTGTACATGTGCAAATTACTATACTTTTTTGGTAATGTATATGACCATGCTTAGTAATGTAAGTCCTAAGGTTTTATTCTTTTGGATTATAGTTCTTAGGATATGTTTGGTTAAGAGAATAATATTTTAGCAAAAAAAATCCAATAATTTGTTATGTTACGTTGCATACATGCAACGTAAATAACAAATTATTGAAATTTTTTGCAAAAATATTTTTCTCATAGAGGAAAAAATGACTATCAGTTGTTATAGATTAAAGTTCATTTTCCTACTCAATCTTCAAGTACTCTAATTCCTCGAGTTCATTTCCCCCACCCACCCTCACTAAATTTTCACCCGTGCGTTGCACGCGAAAAAAGTTTTCTTAAAAAATAAAAAATTAATGCTATATTAATAATGATTACTTGAAAAGCAGAAGATAAAAAGTGTCTTTATTGGTGGCTAAGAGTATACTTAGTGGCGAGTTCACGGGGAGTTCGTAGCTAAGATACAGATGTTTCACAAAGCAATTCCTTGAAAAATTGAAGCAACTCCCACATGTGCTCCAAATAAGTTCCACATCACCTTTTTTTAGGTGAAGCAACTTCATTAAAACCTGTCACTAAATATGCTCAAAAACGTAAATATGCACGGAGAAAAATTTCAAATAAAAATTAAAATATTTTTTTAAACATTATTTTTAGTAGAAAAAGAAAAATTGATAAGGGAACAAAAGGACATGATCATAAAGCAAATAGATTATCATAAAATTAGTAATAATTGGCTTTGTTGGATTAGTTTTAATAATGCATATGAAGATATTAACTGCCTGTTATACAAATGTGCTTGTGGAAAAAGCCTACATTGGAGTATATTTGACAGGCTTGACCATGAATTAAAAGCTACTGATTTTCAAGATATAAACGTCAAGCTAATAAGCACTCATGAGAGCAAAAAGAGAAATTCTTATTACAATAAACAATGTTTCAAAACATTTTATGCAAAGTACACCAAGTAGAAAATGAAAGTCAACATTGATACTCCAGACTCCAGTTGAACAAACAATGAGTTCACTGACTTCAATCCAATCCTTATATTAATCAGCTTCACAATCATAAATGTACATTGAGTTCATTTAATGCATAGAGATGCTACGTAGCAGTCCTTCCTCAGTCCCCCGTCCTCCAAAGAGATCAAACTTTTGATTCCTAAAAACAAAAAATGATCAAATGATTCAATTTTGAGGTCTTGACTAAAACACTACAATGAATATCTAGTTAATACCTACACGAACTTTAATTTTTTTTCTTTTTTAGCTTAGTAATCTAAGTTGTTCTCCTTTTGGTTTCTCTATGAATCCAATTATCCTCTTTCGTCATTCTTCATGAGGTGTTGGAAAAAGCATTTCATTAACAATACCATAAACAATAGGAAACAAATCTGCATGAAGATTCACATAACGAACCTGTTTTGGTGTTGGACTTACAGCTCACTTGGCTTTAGTTGATGTTGTTTGATCTGCACTGATTATATCAAATCAAATTCAAATCCAATAAGATTAGATCTAATTTAAAAAACAATTTACTTGTGTTGGTTGTGTCTTATTTTTTATAAAAACTTTAAATGCATCAGATCGGATCTAATTAAATCGAATTAGACCAAAACAGATCTAATCGGATCAAATCAAATTCAAATCCCATAAGATCATATCTAGTCTTCAAAAAAACAAATTTACTTGTCAAGGTTGTGTCTTATTTTCCAGATATAATCTTTAAATCCATGAGATCGAAATTTAGTTAATATTCTTAAAATTAAAATCTAATAAGATCAGATCTAATTTAAAAAAATAATTTACTTGTGTTGGTTGTGTCTTATTTTTGTGATATAAACTTTAAATGCATCATATCGGATCTAATTAGATCGAATCAGACCAAAACAGATCTAATCGGATCAAATCAAATTCAAATCCAATAAGATCAGATCTAGTCTTCAAAAAAATCAATTTACTTGTGAAGGTCATTTCTTATTTGCCAGATATAATCTTTAAATGCATGAGATATGAATTTAGTTAATATTACTTCATCTGTCCGGAAATATTCTTCCTATGTTGGCTTTGCACGCTTATTAAAGAATAGTAAAAATGCAAAATTTTCAAAAATGCACATACTATAAACTTTTAAATCGCTTTTTATTATTTAAAAAGTACTAAAAAAGTATATTTGTGATAAAATAAAAGGATATTATTGATATTTATCCTTAAAAAGTATACTAAAAAAGGAAATGGGAAGAATATTTCTGGACGGACCCAAAAGAAAAGTGGGAAGAATATTTTCGGACGGAGGGAGCATTAAAGTTTACCTCCAAATCTCTACAATTTTAATTTCCCTCTATCTAAATTAATTTTCCCTCCCCTAAATTTCATCCTCCCTCTTCCTAAATTTATTTTCCCTCTCCTAAATTTCATTCTCCCTTTTCCTAAATTCATTTTCCCTCCCCTAAATTTCATCCTCCCTCTTCCTAAATTTATTTTCCCTCCCCTAAATTTCATTCTCCCTTTTCCTAAATTCATTTTCCCTCCCCTAAATTTCATTCTCCCTCTTCCTAATTTCTTAATTCCCTCCTCTAAAAAACCCTATATCTCGTGGATTAAGGACCGAAGAAAAGAGTTCGCCACTTAGCCGTACCTTCATGCAATCATGCCTAAGCCAGAGCCGTCGATCCTCGTCGCTCCTATCTTCTTCGTCGCCATCGAGATACCTCGACACCGTGCAGTTTCTTCCGATCCCCATAGAGTACCACGATGCACTACGCCAAAAACAGTATCAGACGACTGTTGATTAACTACTGTTAATGGAAACACAGTATTTGGAAAAAAACAGACTATTGTAAGTTTTTCTTGGCAACAGAACAGTAGTCTAGGTTGTATGCTTTAAAACTATTTTTAAAGTTTCAAGAAACGGTAATCTATCATTAGTTGTCTGTGTTAGTTCAAAATACAATTTTTCTTACAACAGTTGTCAATAACAAGTTAAGAATACTCTATTTAAACAATAGTCTAGGCTTTTAGTCTACAACTGTTTTTAAACTTTTTAGAAACAGTTATGTGTTGCTTGTTGTCTGTTTCATATGGTATTTTGCCACTGTTGTTTATAATTGTAATAGAAGACTGTTTGGCAACAATAGTCTATGTATTATGGGTAGAACTGTTTTTGAAGCTGTGAGAAACTGTTGTCCATCATTAGTAGTCGGTTTCATCAAAAAATACAGTTTTTATTGCCACAGTTGTCAATAATTAGTTAAGACTACTACTTAGTAACTGAAGTCTGGTTTCTCGGTATATAATTGTTTTTAAACTTATAAGAAATAGTATTGTATTGTTAGTTGTATGTTTCATATGGTTTTTTTGCAGAATTGTTTATTATAAGAATAGAAGACCCCATTGTAACAGTAGTGTATTTATATAGCGTAGAACTGTTTTTAAAATTCATAGAAGCCGTAATTTATTACAAGTTGTATATAATAAGTTAAGAATACCATTTTTAAACAATAGTTAGACCATTAAGCCTATAACTATTTTTAGAGTTTGTAGAAACCGTAATGTATTACTAACACACCATAGCTCAAATAGACCCCAATAGTAGTTCAAACACCCCAAACATAATAGAGATTTCCACTCCAAACCATAGTACACACAGCCCCCAAAGGAGTCTGCTGTTCGAAAATGACAGCTAGGAAAACCAAAGTTTCCAGTCCTAATCAAGGCCAGGAACTTATTCAAGGCAAGTAGACCCGTAGCAATGGAGAAATGGACAGTGCTCGAGACCAAGAAAATTCAAGGAGAGAACACTCATTAATGGATTACAAATTTAGTTAAGGAGATGAAATGCACCCTAAATCATGACTAAAATGCACTAGAGAGTCGGAGAAAAAGAAAGCAAGAAACCCGGGAAATTGCAGTTTGAAGTTCGTCTGTGAACGAATTCTTACATATACTGGAAATCCAACTTCAGAATCTTTTTTAGCATCCCAAGTCGCCCAAGGATAAAATGTAAATTATTATCACCCCTACTCAGAACGGTACATCAATGTTATATGTTGAACCATAAAAATGGTTCCACACATGAAATGAATACAACAACAATACAACAATACCACAACTTGGCACGCAGGCCGTACAAAAAGAAAATCAAAACAGCAAATCTGTAGTTCCATGATTTCAAGTACCTATCCACATCAAATGGCAGGCCACAAAGCAACACAAACCTGTCCATGGAATCCACAAGGCAGCTTGCAAACTCTCAAAGAGTCCTAAAAATGCAGTAGGTCAGCCCATATACTGCACAGGCCACTTCAAGTTCAAGTTGCATTTCAGCGGAATCAAACCCAATAAGTCATAAATCAGCATCCAAACAACCCAAAAATCAGCACACTGCATTCACAGCCCAAAAAGAGGTACAAGCAGTGGTAAGGCTGCCCAAGCAGCCACTCAATTCCCCCTGCCATCATGCCATTGTCCAAGTTATGGCTAACCAAAACAATGTTCATTTCAGCACATAGGAGACCACCATGAACCAAAACAGCTGCTCTATCAAATGGTAGGCCACCACCAACCAAATCAGCCCATAACACATCCCACAAGTTTCCGTGCTCAAAGTTAAACTTCCCACTCAATTTTGGTTCAAAATCAGGTTTACCCAACCAAAACAGGAGTGCTAACCAGTTGTTTTTGTTGCAAAATCTGCACAAAGGCCTCCCCTAGCAAGGAGAAACCATGTAGGAGCCATATTGAGAACCTCCAAGCAGGTAACATCCGAACCCAGCTTACCACAAACCAGCTGTAAAAGCTTGGCATGAGGTTGGAGGTTCATAGGTCCATGCAAAAAATAATCTAGCAAAACATCCCCAAAACCATGCCATCACCATTCCCAATTCAACCCAACACAAGTAGCAAAAATCATAGCAGTACGAGGTTTACACACCATTCAAAACAGCAAAATAACAGCCCAAAACGAACCAAAACAGATGCAAAAACTAAGTCCAGTAATTCAGCTGCAATTTCGAGAATAGCCTAGTGGTACAACTCACAATTTAGCTTCATAGTAACATCACCCTCAACAAAAACATTGCACAAAACGTGGTCCAACACAGGAGCAAAGCAGACTCAAAATACCGAGTGGTGTAGAGTAACAAGGACCCAAATTTTTACAAAATTAC